GCCGGAGACGAGTCCGGCGGCAGGAACACAGGACCGTAGACAGGGAGGTCAGCAGGCGGTGGGGGAGACACCGGCGCGCGGTCCGGTGAGGGAAGGCCGAGCAGGCGGAGAGCAGAAACCGGCGGCGACGGCTGCTGCGGCGGCGACGACGGCTGGGCCGGAACTCTCGGACCAGCAGAGGCAGAACGACCGTCGGCAGAACACTCAACAGCAGCACCCCCAGAACCAACACCCCCAGAGCGAGAACCCCCTCCAACACCAGCGGCACCCCCAGAAGCCGCAGGACGAACACCCTCCTCCACACCAGCACCCCCAGGGGCCAAGAGCGGCGGCGGCAGTGGCGGCAACGGCTGCGGCGGCGGCGACAGCGGCGACGGCTGCGGCAGCGACAGCGGCGGCGGCGGCGACGGCTGCGGCGGTGACGACAGCGGCGACGGCTGCGGCAGCGACGGCGACGGCGGCGGCAGCGGGGTCGGCGACTGCGACAGTGGGGGCGGAGGCACCGGGGAAGGGGGACGCGGCAAGGACGGACCGGGGGTACCACCAGAGTCAGCAGACTCCTCAACGGGGACAACCGACGGGAGGGGAGTGACGTGGGAGACACCAAACGGGGCAGGACGAGGCGGGAGAGGGGCAGGGGCTACCGGGGGAGAGGGAGCAAGGAACAGGGGGGGGGCAACTGGGAGACCTCGGTGAGGGAAGCGGCGGTAGAAGGAGACGGACTCGTCAAAGGTGACGTCACGAGAGTGGAGGAAGCGGTGAGACGGCGGGTGGTAGAAAAGCCAGTCAGACGAGTCCAGGGGGAAACCGAGGAAGACACAGGGGACAGTGCGGGCAGTGAGCTTGTCCGTGCCAGAGGCACGAACGTGAGCAAGGCAGCCCCAGACGTGGAACGCAGACGCGTCACCGGGGGACCCGGTCCAAAGGAGGGTCGGCGAAACCTGCGGCCGCTGGGAGCGTGGCCACAGGTTAAGCTGGTGAGCAGCGTAGCGAACAGCGAACGGCCACAAAAAATGGGGGGCATCGGCATGGATCATGGAGGTACGGGCGACCTCCATGACCAAGCCGATGCGGCGCTCAGCAACCCCATTCTGTTGTGGCGAGTCCGGCAAGGTGTACGACTGGGTGATGCCCTCCGCACGACAGAACTGTCCAAGCCGACCAGAGGCGAACTCGCCGCCACGGTCGGAGTGGAGACACAACACGGGGAGACCGCGGTGGAGACGCGCAGCCACAACCCACGGGAGGAGAACGTCGGGCACGTCGGCCTTCCGCTCCAGGGGAAACACCGTGGTGTAGCGCGTGTAGTCGTCGACGAGCACAAGGAAGTAGCGCTCACCGCGCGGTCCGGGGACGGGGGCAGGGCCCCAAACGTCCAAGTGCAGGGTCTGAAGGGGGGGCAGTAGCAGGACGCAGCGAGGAGGAGTGAGGAGCACGGCGAAGCCGACCCTCGACGCAAGGCGTGCACGGTGGCGCAGTCGAGGGAGGAAGGGCAGGGAGCGACGCAGGGAGACCTAAGACAAGACCGTGCTGGGACATGTGACGCAGACGCGGGAGAGCAGGGTGACCTAAGCGGTGGTGCCAGAGAAGGGAGGGGTGAGCGAGGGACCGACACGAGCAAGCTGCAGCGACCTGGGAGGACGCACCAACCGGGGGGGAAGCGGTGTCTAGGGTAAACAGACCGGACACCGGGTCCCGGGGGAACGTCGCAAGGGGGGAACCTGAGACAGCCTCAGAACAGACAGCGAACCGCTCGTGCCCGGGGAACGTGGTGGTGACGCCGAGGTCCTGGAGACAGCCGACACCAACCAGGTTCCTGGAGAACGAGGGAACGTGGAGGCCAGTAAGGGAGCCTGAGGGAACTGCCGGACAGGGAAGGGACGTAGAACTGCGCGCGACGACCGGACCCGCAGAGGGGTCAGCGAGAGAGACAACAGCAGGTGCAGCAAGCGGCGTGAGCGTGGAACGGTCGCGGAAGAAGCAGGCAGAAGCACCGGAGTCGAGAGTGAATGACAGCGACGCAGTGGCGGAGGCCGGGGACGGAGCCGGTGCAGCGACTAGACTAGGCAACCTAGGCAGTCCTACGCCTGACGCAGCAGGGGAGGCTAAGCTACACAGTGGTGCAACACCTAAACTAGAGTACACAGGGTAATAAGATCCAGCAAAACTAGAAGTGTCAGAATACAAAGCATGCAAAGCAGCACCTAGCTGATCCATGTCTAACTCAAAGATCGGCACGCCCTGGCGGAGCAGGCTGTGCCAGTCGGGGAGGTCCGGGGCCGGGCCAAAGCGACGACGAAAGAGATCGTCGAGGCGGCGGAAACAGCGGGCGGTCGAGTGCGGGCGGCGGCACAGAGTGCCGCGAAGAGGCCCGGTCTGAAGCTGGTACTGGCAGGTGACAGCACCGGAGCCGCCGGTAGACGCCAAGCTGCGCGGACCGCCACCACGGCCACTACCTCCAGAGGTGCCGGGCCAACCAGGCGGGAGACGGGCCCACTGCTGCGGCGACTGCTGCTGGGACGGTAACTGCTGCTGGGGAGGCGGCTGCGGCTGGGGCTGCTGCTCCTGCCCACCAGTGGTAGTCCCCGCAGGCGGATTACCGTCACCACCACTACTGCAACCACCACCCCTACCCCCTGGCGACCACGGCCACCGCGACGCGAGCGCTGCTGCGGGTGGACCGCACCAGCCGACTCGGTGAGAGGGGCCGCCGAGGCGACCGCAGCCGAAACGTCAGTGAACGCACACTGGGAGGGGGCACAACCGTGAAAGATAGAAACTGCCGGCGCACCGCTCGACTGAGCGATAGTGCGCTGGCGAGTCTCGATCTCGGTGAGGGTGTCGACAAAGGCAGTGAGAGTGAGGTCACCCGGGTGCTGGCTAAGAAAGTGATCGCGAGCACTAGCGAGGCGGTCTGGCAGGCGCATGGCGATAAAATAGAGCGTCATGCAGAAAGGGGGGGGGAGCGCAGTGAGCTGGGCAGCAGTGCTGGCAGTGCGATAGCGGGTCTCTAGGGCACGCAGGTGAGTGGCAAAGTCTGCGACGGTAGGGAAAGCTGCAAGGTCTGGGAAAAGCATAGGGAAGAGCAGGCGACCAGCTGAAGCAGACGCGGGTGTGGAATAGCGGGCAATAACAGCGTCTAAGTAAGCTTTGGCCGTCTCAATAGTAGCAAAACGCGAGCGCTCAGAGACAGGGAGGGCGTGGCTAATGGCAACCTGAGCGACTGCATCGCGGGAGTCCCAGACCGCACGGGCAAGCGCAGCAGTAGAGAAGGTCTCACGGTCATCAGAGGAGGGATCAGCAGGGAGGGGAGCAGGTGCGGGGGGACGGGGGAGCAAGCCGTCGACATGGACAACCAAAGAGTGGCCATCCTGGCGCTGACCTGTAAGGTGGCGGCGGAGATCGGAGAGCCAGGCGGCGAAGTCAACCGCATGGCCCTCGGCGTCCAGTCGGAGCACGAAGTCCGCCATCGTGCAGGGTCAGCGGCACAGCTCCACAGGAACACAGCGACAGCCCCCTCCAGCACGGCGGCCGCGAAGCGCCTTAGCACGGGCGAGCAGAGGAGACGGAGCCCGAGGCGGCACGGCAGGACGAGCCGGGGCGAAGGGGTCAGGCAGGTGCGGTGGGGCCAGGCAGGTGCTGGCGAGGCCAGGAAGGCACGGCGGGGCCAGGCAGGCGCAGCGGGGCCAGGCAGGCGCGGCGGGGCCAGGCAGGCGCGGCGGGGCCAGGCAGGCGCGGCGGGGCCAGGCAGGCGCGGCGGGGCCAGGGAGGCGCGGCGGGGCCAGGGAGGCGCGGCGGGGCCAGGCAGGCGCGGCGGGGCCAGGGAGGCGCGGCGGGGGCCAGGAAGGCGCGGCAGGGCCAGGCAGGTGCGGCGGGGCCAGGCAGGCGCGACGGGGCCAGGCAGGCGCGACGGGGCCAGGCAGGGCGCGACGGGGCTAGGCAGGCTCGGCGGGGCCAGGCAGGCGCGGCAGGGCCAGGGAGGCGCGGCGGGGCCAGGCAGGTGTGACGGGGCCAGGCAGGGCGCGACGGGGCTAGGCAGGGCGCGACGGGGCCAGGCAGGGCGCGACGGGGCTAGGCAGGGCGCGACGGGGCCAGGCGGGCGCGACGGAGCCAGGCAGGGCGCGACGGGGCCAAGCGGCGGGGCCAGGCAGGTGCGGCGGGGCCAGTCAGGCGCGACGGGGCCAGGCAGGCGCGACGGGGCCAGGCAGGGCGCGACGGGGCCAGGCAGGCGCGGCGGGGCCAGGCAGGCGCGGCAGGGCCAGGGAGGCGCGGCGGGGCCAGGCAGGCGTGACGGGGCCAGGCAGGGCACGACGTGGCTAGGCAGGGCGCGACGGGGCCAGGCGGGCGCGACGGAGCCAGGCAGGGCGCGACGGGGCCAAGCGGGCGCGACGGGGCCAGGCAGGGCGCGACTGGGCTAGGCAGGGTGCGACGGAGCCAGGCGGGCGCGACGGGGCCAGGCGGGGCGCGACGGGGCCGAGCGGGCGCGACGGGGCCAGGCAGGGCGCGACGGGGCTAGGCAGGGCGCGACGGGTCCAGGCGGGCGCGAGGGAGCCAGGCAGGGCGCGACGGGGCCGAGCGGGCGCGACGGGGTCAGGCAGGGCGCGACGGGGCCAGGCAGGGCGTGACGGGGCTAGGGTGGCGCGACGGGGTTAGGGTGGCGCGACGGGGCCCAGGAGGGGCGCGACGGGGCTAGGAGGCGCGACGGGGCCCAGGAGGGGCGCGACAGGGCTAGGGTGGCGCGACGGGGCTAGGGTGGCGCGACGTGGCCCAGGAGGGGGGGGGGGGGGCGACGTGGCTAGGAGGCGCGACGGGGCTAGGAGGCGCGACGTGGCCTAGCTAGGGTATGGGCGGAAGCGGTAGGTGGGGGATGCTAACCTACGCGTGATACCTTGTCAAAGTGAGAACGAATAATGACTAGAGGTGGAAACCTAGAACAAATACTAGTTGGTTGTACTCACTAGAAGCATACCTCAGTCTAGCCTATAACTTCTACATAGATAATATGTATAAGTTGACATTCCCGTCTTCGACCAAATTTGACATCAAGGGGAAGAAGCCCTGACATGTCAGGTTACCCAAGTCAAACGGTTTTGTACCACCCGAACAACACTACCACCGTACTGCACACCATACCGCACGGTTTTGTACCGCTGCACTGTTCTTGTTTAGTGGGAACTCAAGAACCTGATAGGGCTTCGTTATGGATAGGATTGTGCCCAAACATACATTCACCTCACACGTATCAGTGTTGCACTTGGACCTAACGGACAACCAAACTACGCAAAACCTGGGCACTTGCATTCCAAATTACCGAGACGATAAACACGCCACCTGCATATGTAACGCTCGGCCACATGAAACGCCTGTAACTGCCATTGGACACCGTATCAACTCCCACATGAAACGCAGCCATCTCTATTCTCCAAGGAGCATGTCATTTCTGCCATCCGCGCTTGCATCTCAGCCTCCTTCACCCTCCGCTCCTGGCTCTGGTAGAGTGAATGTGAGTGTGATTTTTGTGTGAGTGTGTGTGTGTGTGTGTGTGTGTGTGTGTGTGTGTGTGTGTGTGTGTGTGTGTGTGTGTGTGTGTGTGTTGGGGAGGGAGAGTTGATTATACTAGTCAACACGCACTACGGGCTGCCGTGCTTGCATCTCAGCCTCCTTTACCCCCCGCTCCGGCTCTGGTGGCCCGGGGAGGAGGGAGGAGGGTTAGAGGGGAGGGCCGGAAGATAGGGGGGGGAAGGGGGGGGGAAGGGGGGGGGAAGAGATGTTTTCGAACCACTCTAGTACTCCCAACCAGCCATGCTTGAATCTCCGTTTCTTCTACCCTCCTCTCCTGCCCCCCGGCAGAGACAGTGTGTGTGTGGGGGAAAGAGGACGAGAAGGAATTGAATCATCTGGTCACACTACTGCCATCCCTGCTTTGCATCTCCGCCTCATTCGCCCTCCACTCCTTGCTTCGGAAAGAAAGTGTGTCGGCGGGGGAAGGAGAAAGGGAAGAAATGTTTGAAGACCTAACAAGTCAGTAAGTGAAAAAACTTTCTTCCTATACCTCCTCTCCTTGCTCTGGTATAGTGCGTGGGGGGGGGTGTGGGGGGGGAAACTTTCAGACTCAAGATGAGGACCATCCTGCATAACAGAAACTCTGCATACTCACATTCGGGTATCTCGAAGGTGGCTGCTACCTGCATGCACGCCATGGTTAGCGGCCTACCTTCTTGACCGCCTCTCACCTTCTTGACCGCCTCTCACCTCTCGCCTCTGCATCAACTGTGAACTTGATGGCATCCACGGCCCCTCGTGTTCTCAAGCGATACATGCCTGTCTTGAGACCAGCGTATTCTACCTGTCAACTGGCCTCTCATCTTTTTCACCACCTCTGCATCGACAGTGAACTTGATGGCATCCGCTGCCCCTCTCATCCACAGCACACTCCTGTCTTCAAATCCTGTGTGCGACTTGCATGCACCTTACCCTTCCTGTAGGCTCCTACCCTTCAGATGGCCTCCTACCTTCTTGACCGCCTCTGCATCCACGGTGAACTTGATGGCATCCACTGCCCCTCTCGTTCTCAAGTAGTACATGCTGTCTGTCTTCAAACCGGCCCGTCCTACCCTTTTAATGGCCTCTTACCTTTTTGACCGCCTCTGCATCGACAGTGAACTTGATGGCATCTGCTGCTCCCCTTGTTCTCAAGTAGTACATGCCGGTCTTCAGACCCTGCCAGCACCACAGGTCAAGTGAAAGAACAGCAGATGATTGTTGCGGTGTCTCCAATCCCTGTGTGCATCAAGTGCAGAGTGTCTGGTGTCAAGTGTCAATTGTCAAGCAACAGGGCGATTTTTCACCACGACACTCGCTAGAGAAACGACAAACCGCTCAATTCACATGTAAATCTTCCCCACAGCTCGCTCACAGCACCCACCTTGCCCCATGTGTAGAAGTGCAGTGAAGTGAGCTTGCCGAAGGTAGGCGCGTCCATGTAGATGTTAAGCGACTGGCTCTGGTCGATAAACGCCCCTCTGTCTGCAGCCATATCCACAATCGCCCTCTGTTTCATCTCCCATACAGTCCTGCCCATTATAAGCGCACCCGATACAAGAACAACGGACACCGCATCAGGGTCAGGGTTCCCGTCAGCTAGGATTGATGAGCGACTGGCTCTGGTCTTGTCGATAGACGAGCACCGCATCAGGACAGGGTTCCTGGATCCATCACTCACTTGTAGATGTCTCGCGGAACTGCGAAATCTCGTCCAGCCCCTACACTCATCTATCGTGGTAGATCTTCAGGTCGGGCGATCTTACCCAGTTACCCGCACTCCTGGACCCATCACTCACTTGTAGATGTCTCTCAGGAACCGAGGGATCTCGTCCATCCCCTCCGTTGATCCATTGCGGGAAAAGAACTCGTTCTTCAGGTCTGGTTACTCAAGGTTACCTGGTTACCAGCAGCACTCAACTATGCACTCACTTGTAGATGTCCCTCAAAAGCTGAGGGATCCCGTCTATCCCCTCCACTGATCCGTTGTGGTACATGAGCTCGTTCTTCAGGTCTCTCCGGCAACCAGGTTGCCAGCACGCCTAGCGACACACTCACTTGTAGATGTCTCTTAGGATCTGCGGAACCTCGTCCAGCCCCTCCATTAACCCATTCTGATGGATGAGTTTTGAGTCGACTAAAAAATCACCCATTCTGATGGATGAGTTTTGAGTCGACTAAAAAATCACCCATTCTGATGGATGGGCTCGTTCTGAAGGTCGGGTTACCCTGGTCACCAGCATGCCAGTTACAAGCTCTCACCTGATTACCAGAACACAAGCCACCGCCAGCAGCACTCACTTGTAGAGGTCCCTCAGGAACTGAGGGATCTCGTCAAGCCCCTCCACGGATCCGTTATGGTAGATGAGCTCGTTCTTCAGGTCCGGCGACCACAGGCCGAGGTGCGTGAGGTCGTTGAGGAGATGCTTGTTCACCACCACGAACTCGCCACTGGAGGGAGAGGGGAGAAAAAAGGAGAAACGAGAGACAAGGGGATGAAAGAGGGCAGCTTGTTCTTCAGGTCCGGCGACCAGAGCCCCAGGTGGTTGAGGTCGTTGAGTAGATGCTTATTGACCACCACGAACTCGTCACTGAAGAGGGGAGAAACGGTAAGGGAGGTGGAGCAGGAGAGGGAAGGGTGAGGGAACGGCAGGGAGAAAGACAACTCGTTCTTGACGTCAAGCAACCACAGGCGGAGGTGTGTCAAGTCGTTGAGGAGATGCTTGTTGACCACCACGAACGAACTCGCCACTAGAGGAAGGGGGGGAAGGGGGGATGGGGACGAGCCCATTCGGTCTGCCTTGTAGGGGTTTGATGACCTCTCGACCAGAGGCCCAGGTGGGTGAGGCCATTGAGCAGATGCTTGCTGACCACCGCGAACTCGCAACTGACTCAGGGGAAAGAAGGGGGGGAGAGAGTAGGCGGTGAAGTGAGGAGGGGGGGTCGCGGAGAACGCAGGGGAGAGGATCAGCAGACCCTTGACGGCTGGCGACCAGCTGTGAAGCGTACTTCAGCCCAGATGTTCTTACCTGAGCACTCTTCTGGAGTAGATGTTCGAGGTGTACGGCTCGAAGCACTCATTGTTCCCAAGGATCTGGCTGGTGGAGGCCGTGGGCATGGGCGCCACCAGCAGGGAGTTGCGTAGTCCTTGTGCTGCAATGTCTGCTCGTAGGGCTGCCCAGTCCCACCTATCCGAGGGGGTCACGCCCCACATGTCCGGTTGCAAAACACCCTGGAAGGTAAGGGCAGGGAGAAGGGTGGGTGGGGGCAGGAGAAAAAAACGGTATGGTATGGTATGGTATGGTATGAGATGAGGTGGGCATGGGAGTCACTGGCAGAGAGATCCCCAGCCCGTGTGTGGCAATGTCCGCTCTTAGTGCTGCCCTGTCCCAGCGGCCTGAGGGGATCACGCTCCACATGTTGGGTTGCAGTATCCCCTGTGAGGAGAGAAGTGGGGCAAAACACGGAGAGTGTGGATCCAGGCAAAGGGGAAAGGGGAAAGGGGAAAGGGGAAAGGGGAAAGGGAGATTTAAGCAGCAAGGGAAGAAGGGGAGAAGTCCAACAGAACAAGCCTTCAAAGGTTACACGTCGTCAGATCTTCCACACCATCATACGTTCCACGTCAGCAGCATACCTTGCTGACGGGGCAGCCAGAGTACGACTCGTACGTCCCCTCCTCCTTCGCCAGCTGGCATGACGTGCGCAGTGCGTGGTAGTAGATCGTCTCGAAAATATCTCTGTTGAGTTGCCGGGCCTGAAGGGGGGGTTGGGGGGAGGGGGAGGGGGAGGGGGGGAGGAGAGATCAACAAGCCAGCGGATGACGTGCGCAGTGCATGGTAGAAGATCGTCTCGGAAATATCTCTGTTCAGTTGCCGGGCCTGAAGGGGGAGTTTGGGGGGGGGGGGGGGGGGGGGGTGGAGAGAGAGTGGCACATGCTGTGAGGACGAGGAGTCCAAACACCCCTGAACTCTTAACATCAGACCATATTTATTTGACGAACCTGGGGCGAGTCGAAGGGCATGCCCAGCAGGATGAAGGCGTCTGCCAGTCCCTGCACTCCCAAGCCGATGGGGCGATGGGGCTTGTTGGAGCGACGATCCGACTCGGTGGGATAGTGGTTTCACGGTTGAGTGAGAGCACGGGGTTCAAACACCCATAGCCGCACTGTGGCGAGTCGAAGGGCATGCCCAGTAAGATAAATGCATCTGCCAGTCCCTGCACTCCCAAGCCGATGGGGCGGTGCCGCATGTTGGAGCGACATGCCGACTCCGTGGGATGGTACTAAGAAGTCCACTACGCACCTGAGGTGAATCGAACGGCATTCCCAGGAGGATAAACGCGTCGGCCAGCCCCTGAACTCCCAGGCCGATGGGGCGGTGGCGCATGTTGGAGCGACGCGCCGACTCTGTGGGATAGTAGTTGACGTCTATGACTCTGTTGAGGTTTCGCGTTACCACCTCTGTGATCTGCGGGGGGCAACGGGAGTGAAGCAGGAGCGAGAGTGGGCAGAAAGGGTGAGCGGAGGGACACTAAGCTCGGTGGGATAGCAGTTGACGTCTATGACCCAGTTGAGGTTCCGCGTTACCACTTCTGTGATCTGCCGGCAGCAAGGAAGTGAGGGCAAGAGAAGAGACGGGATGAGAGGAAGACATGGGAGCGAGCTGAATTTTGAGGCGCCTCAGAAGGCACTAGGCACATTCATGTAGACATGAGAAAGGAAGACATGGGAGCGAGCAGAAGAAAGAAATTGATGCATGCAGTTGGAGGCCAGTCACTGTGGGAATCCAAGAACGCAACTGATACGTTTCATCTCTCACCTCTCCAATTCACTTCTTACCTATCCCAGTTTATCGAAGTCAAAGAATCGCTTGTCGTGGTTGAGAGAGCCAGTTGTAAGCGCATCGCAGTAGGTCCGTGCGCAACGAGCCCCACCCACCCACCCACCCTACCTCGCCCACCTTCTTACCTCTCCCAATTTATCAAAGTCAAAGAATCGCTTGTGGTGGTTGAGAGAACCAGTCAGCTTGGACGGATGGGCTTCGGATGGTACCCCCTGCATGCAGTCAGAATGAAATCGACACAATGACATGTAGAGAGTGCAGCGAGTGACTCCATAGAATGTGTATGCTTGCCATTCGGCTGTATCGGGTGTGACTACACAGACCGTGTGTGAGGAGGGGCAGAGGAAAGGAGTCGCAAGAAAACCACTTGTGAACTAGTGGCAGGGCGAAGGGCACACGGTTCTACACAGAGTCCACTTCAGGCCTGGTGAACTCCACTTCCCCCTTTTGAGGCGCCTCAAAAGTCCACTTCAGGCCTGGTAAATTCCACTTTCCCCTCTTCCCCCCCCTCCTGTCACCCTCCCCTCAACCCCACTCTCACCTTCTCTAGCACGAATCGACCCGGGCCGATGGACACAAGGGTGCGGACAGCAGTCTCTGCAGGGTTAGTTGATCCCACTACTCCCCCTTCTCACGCCACCCCTGCCCCTATCCTCACCTTCTCCCTCACAAAGCGAGGCAGGGCGAGGGACACCAGGTTGCAGACAGCAGTCTCCTCGGGACTAGTGAATTCCACAATCTCTGTGCACAGGTTGCTGCACTTGATGGTGCCCAGGTTCTGCTGGTTGGACTTGCGATTGCATGCGTCCTGCACCCAAGAGAAAAAGGATTGGAGAGGAGAGGTTAGAGACGTGCATGCAATGTTCCCTTGACCACGAATCATAGTTGACATGGGCCATGGCCGTGTTACAACCATGAGGGAGCACTTCACAAAAAAGGTATTGCACCCTCAATAACATGTATGGGTTGCCTGGTTATAGCAATAACCAACATCATACAGCGAAGCAGTCGCCTTGAAAAGCAAGTTCGAATTGCCTGCTTAAAACAGTAGCAGAGCAATCTACAGCGAGGCACTCACCTTGAAGAGCATATACGGGTTGCCTGTTTCGATTTGCGCCTCACAGATGGCAAACCAGAGCTTCTGTGAGGGGATCACGCGCTTGGCACGGCCCTGGTGTAAGGGAGAAGACGTGGGGGTGAGATGAGGAATAGCTGTAGGGTCTTGCAGTACAGTCAAGGTCAGACCAGAGTCTTCGTAAAGGTATCAAATGCAGAGAGTTTGAAGGATTCAAACCGCAGCAAGCCTTGTGACTCATATGCTTGACACTGCTCCAAGGAACCTGTTGCTTAGCAACGACTGTTGCTGTATTTGCATCCCCTCTGACCCCACTTCACTCCATTTTCTCATATTATCACACCTTGACTCACCCAAAACACGCTAATCCCTCCTCCATCCACTCACCTCCCTCTCGTGCTCGAGATAAAGCGCCTCAAACTCCCCTCCCCAGCAGTCCGCCTCACAATTACATGCAACGACACTCGAGGCCCCTTACTTGACTCACTTACAATGTAGCAACAGTGCCTCAAACTCAGCGCCTCCAACTCCTCCCCCCAGCAGTCCGGCAGGCAAACATGAATAACCCTTGCTGCAATTTGACCGCACTGTAAAATCACTCACACCTCCATCTACCAAGCACGCACCTCCCTCTCGTACTTGAGATAAAGAGCTTCAAACTCCTCCCCCCAGCAGTCCGCCAGGCCAGGGGCCTCGTTGGGGCAGAATAGCGACCAGGGCATGTTGGACTGTGAGGGGGGGCGCAGGGGGCAAGGGATAGGTGGGAAGAGAGGGGATAAGACGGATAGCAGTCAATGCAGGCAGGCGAGGGGCCTCTTTGGGGCAAAAGAGCAGCCAGGGCATGTTGGACTGGGAGAGGGCGCGCAGGAAGCAGGGGAGGCGTGGTAAGAGAGGGGATAGGATGGATAGCAATCAATGCAGGCAGGTGAGGGGCCTCTTTGGGGCAAAAGAGCAGCCAGGGCATGTTGGACTGGGAGAGGGCACGCAGGAAGCAGGGGAGGCGTGGGAAGAGAGGGGATAGGAAGGATAGCAATCAATGCAGCCAGGCCAGGGACCTTGTTGGGGCAGAAAAGATACCAGGGCATGTTGGACTGTGAGGGGGCGCGCAGAAAACACGGGAGGGGTGGGAAGAGAGGGGATAAGAAGGATAGCAATCAATGCAGGCAGGGGCCTCGCTGGGCGGAAGTGGGCAACTTCTCCGCCCTACCTGGCTAACTTCAATCGCCCCTTCCCTCCCTTCTCTCTCTCTCCCCCCCTCTTTATCTGCACTCGCTTCAAGAAGAGGTCAGGGATCCAGAGCCCGTAGAACTCTCTAAATAGCTTCACTCGTCCCTCCCCACCCCTCCCCAACCCCCTTCCTCCCCCCTTCCTCACCTGCACTCGCTTCATGAAGAGGTCCGGGATCCAGAGCCCGTAGAAGAGGTCCCTGGCTCTGTTCTCCTCCTTGCCGTGGTTCTTCCTCAGGTCCAGGAAGTCAAACACGTCCGAGTGCCACGGCTCGATGTAGATGGCAAAGGCGCCTGAAACGGGGAGAAGGTTGGGAGAGGCAACAGCGATCTCAGCGGCAGATTATAGACAAGGTGGTCACCCCGCCTTGCCAAGAAACTTCCTCAGGTCCAGGCAGTCAAACATGTTCGAGTGCCACAGCTCGATGTAGATGGCAAAGGCGCCTGAAACAGCAGGAAACTGGTGGGGGGGACACACCGTTGGTGCCCCTGATGTAGCTCACCTGGCTGGCACATATGTAGTGTATAAACAAGCCTTGAGCCCGAAACCTTGAATTGAATTGAAACCTCAAATCCTGCAGTCTCCCCTTTGCACTTCTCCTCCCCTGATCCATGTATCGCGCGGTGTTGTTGAACACGCCACGCAGCATCAGCACAACGCCATTCGACAAACCTGAAACCCCAAAACCAAACCTGAATCCCGAGGTTCTCACCTTTCCTCTTCCCTCCCCCCTGATCGACATATCACGCCGTGTCATTGAACACACACAGCATTGGCACGATGCCGGTAGACATGCAGTTGGTGACTCTGATGTGGCTAAAGGAAAGATGTAGCTCCCCTTAGCACGTATGCAGTGTCACAGCAAGCACAAAACCCGAAACCCTGATTCCGAACCCCGAAAGGCCCACCTTTCCTCTTGCCTCCTCCCTGGTCCACATATCGCGCCGTGTCATTGAACACTCGCAGCATTGGCACGATTCCATTCGACATGCCGTTGGTGCCGCGGATGTAGCTCCCCTTGGCACGTATGCAGTGTGCAGACAAGCCTATGCCGCCCGCCGACTTGCTGATCACTGCACACTCCTTGAGCGTGTCGTAGATGCCCTCTATGCTGTCCTCTTTCATGCAGACGAGAAAGCAGCTGCTCAGCTGCTCAAAGGGGGTAGGGGAAACGGGAGCACACAGACCCATGCGCTCATAATGGACTCCTTGAGCGTGTCGTAGATGCCCTCTATGCTGTCCTCCTTCATGCACACAAGAAAGCAGCTGCTCAGCTGGTCAAAGAGAGTACACAGACACATGCGCTCATAATGGACTCCTTGAGCGTGTCGTAGATGCCCTCGATGCTGTCCTCCTTAATGCACACCAGGAAGCAGCTGCTGAGCTGGAAGCGGGAAGTTAGGGGAGAAGGGGGGAACAGGGAGAACAGGAGAAGGTGAGGTAAACCCAGTAGTCACTCCTTGAGCGTGTCTGTGGTAGACACCCTCGATGCTGTCCTCCTTCATGCACACAAGGAAGCAGCTGCTCAGCTGCCCAAAAGGAAGTAATGGGGCATGGCATTGGGAAAGGGACACAGGGGAGTGAGGGCAGAGAAAAGTCAGCTCCAAACTCCTTCGTTTCTGAGCAGCTGAGCAGCGTGTGGTAGACGCCCTCGATGCTGTCCTCGTCATACACACCAGAACGCAGCTGCTCAGCTGGTAGGGGGGGGGGGCGGGGGGTTGATAATAGGCAAAGGGAATGGGGTCTATTTTTGAGGCGCCTCAAAGGGAATGGGGGAAAGACAAGGGGGATCACGCTCAAATGCTTCTGCTTGAGCTTAGCATGCCTAGAAGCAGGGAGGCACATGTGTGATGTGATGTGAACCACCGCTGCGACATGAGTGGGGTATGTCTGCAGCACTGCTGCCTCGAAATGGTTGAAACGCCTACGCCCTCCTTGTGAATGCAAGTGGAGATGTCTCGGAGCAATCTATCTGGGGTAGCAACACAAAGCAAAACCTCATATGATGTCTCATATCTGCGGCCTTAGATTACACACCCACTGCTGAAGAGAGGTGGGAGACACGTGTGTGATGTGAACCACTGCTGTGACATGAGGTGGTACGTCCGCACGGCAGGCCCAGTTCCCGCCTGTTGAATTCATTCCAAGACGTCCCATAACCCCTAAGAAGTGGCAGCATGGAGAGAACACCTACCTGGGGCCTGGGAGTGCCGCTGTTAAAGAGGGTGGGAGACGCATGTGTGAACCAGCGTTGCGACATGAGGTGGTACGTCTTAACGGCTGCCTCGATGTCCGCCTTGTGAATGCCCACCGCCACCCGCATCAGCATGTGCTGCGGCCGCTCCACCACCTTCCCGTTCACCTGAGGCGGTATTGGGAGAGAGATGAGACGCAAAAACATTAAAACGGAGGGCTTGACCAGGGTGGTACCGGGCAAACAGTAAAACCTTCAGAAACATCCACCAATCAGCAGCTGGAAGTGGCTTCGGCCAATACTCACCTTGAGCAGGTAGGAGGATCGCTTGTGAGTCTTGAAGCCGAGTTACTAATAGTCAAAGTCACGGTCATAGGTCACCTCACTCACTGACTGGCTTTCCGCTATCTACTGCTGGCTTCAGCTAAGACTAGCCTTGCGAGCTGGTCAATCACCTTGAGCAGGTAGGAGCGCTCGAGAGTCTTGAAGCCAAAGTAGTCATAGTCGAAGTCACGGTCGTAGATCACCTCACTGTCAAGCCGCTCCGCATGCTGTTACATACAGACAGATGGAGAGATAAAAAAGAGCGAGAGGGGGTTTAAGGTTTAACGTTTTATTTCAGTCGCAACCCTTACACACAAACAACAGAATTGTATATAGCTAAGGACGAGAGAGGGGTGAACGCGAACGTGAGAAACAGGAAGGACAGATAGGTTTAGCATACAACTCCTTCCTTCACACTGCGACAGGCACGGTATGCTGCTGCGCTCACCTTCATGATGATTTCACAGACGTCATCCACAATCAAGGGAGTGGTCAGACCTGACTCCTGGTTCACATGGGCGTGCTGCGTACATGTTCTTCACTCTGCATCAGGCAGGGCATGCTGCGCTCACCTTCATGATGATCTCGTACACGTCATCCGCAATCAAGGGTGCAGGCAGACCTGACTCCTGGTTCACATGGGCATGCTGCGTACATGTCCTTCACTCTGCAGCAGGCAGGGCATGCTGCTCTCCTTCACTCTACAACTGGCGACGGCAAGGTATGCTGCTGCTCTCTCACCTTCATGATGATTTCATAGACGTCATCTGCAATCAAGGGTGCAGGCAGTCCAGACTCCTGGTTCACATGCGCGTACATGTCTTTCACACTGCGACACAAGCATGGGCAGGATGGGGGGCAGAAAAAAAACATGGAGACACGGAAAATGTTACAGGCGCCTTGAAACCACACATGGTGCACAGCTTCTGGGTGCCCAGAAGCCCGCTCCAGACTCACAGAACGAATAACAAGCTTCAAGAAAGAAACAGGGAGCAGGATTCGATTCCTCAATGCTGACGCGTGTTTCCGTAGCTAAAGAGAGGACTAGAGCGAGCACATGCTGACGTCGCAAAAGCAATTCACCCTAAACCCTAAACACCAGTCAGGCCAACCGGCAGGTAAAACGCACGTCTCAGAGAAGGACTTCTTTGTCTTCTTGTGCAGGTTGGAGACCGCAATCCGTGCTGCCAGCTGCGCATCACGGCACCATGCAAGAGGTAGGGGAGTGAGGGAGGAGCATAGGTGAAATGGGGAGGCGGGGCCTGTGAGGGGCCGTCACACATGGTTGGAAGAAAGGCAGCAGTACTAAAAAGTTGCTGGTGCAAGAATGATACAAGTAACGAAGTCGCTCCTGCTGCTGCCCGTCCACCCAGGAGTGACGAAGTCGCATGGACCCACAGGAGTGACGAAGTCGCATGGACCCACAGGTCACAGCCAGGATGTGTTGAACAGAGGAGTATTACTACATTTACTACGTTGTGCTTGCGCCAGTGGAAAAGGAGCATTGTCACATCGTGCTTCGCGCAGACAAACAAGGAGCATTGTCACATCGTGCTTTGCGCCGACAAACAAGGAGCATTATCGCATCGTGCTTTGCGCCGACAAACAAGGAGCATTATCGCATCGTGCTTTGCGCCGACAAACAAGGAGCATTATCGCATCGTGCTTTGCGCCGACAAACAAGGAGCATTATCGCATCGTGCTTTGCGCCGACAAACAAGGAGCATTATCGCATCGTGCTTTGCGCCGACGAACAGGGAGCATTGACTCACGAGTGCGTAGTCTGGGTGCGTGGCCGTCATTCCCGCCGCGGTTTCAGCTGCCAGCTCATCGAGCTGCGCTGTAGTCACGCCCTTGTACACGCCCATGCACACCTGGGGGGAGGGCAAGGGCCAGAGCACAGTGGTTGACGACAGTGACAAAGGTTTCGGCTTGCTATCGCCAGTTCATCGAGCTGCGCTGTAGTCACGCCCTTGTACACGCCCATGCACACCTGGGGGAAGGGGGAAGAGAGGGGGGGGAGGGGGAGAGGAGGGGGGAGCGAGGGGGGCGGCCGATGGGGGGGTGGGGGGGGGGTACATGCGCATTTTGACATATGGGGAAGCTGTTTAAGCATTACGGAGGGAAAAAGAGAAAATGGCTCGTGAAGTTCTCCGATGACAAGGTCGCGGAACACACACCTATAAGGAGGTGTCCGAACCTTCTGATCACACGCGATCACGCATTCACGAATCCACTAGAAATGTACCCTCTGGGCCTGCTTTTGAGTCGACTCAAAAACATTCACGAATCCACTAAAAACGTACCCTCTGAGCCGCCCCATCAGATCGCACGAATGTACCGACGACGATAGAGGAGATCGGCTGCTCCTTTACGGGACGACCCTTCTGAACCACCAAGATGGTTTGCGCAACACGCAATAACGAGGATACCCAGGGCTCTCGGTAAATCCAACTGCTTTTTCAAGGGACGGCTCGTACCTTCTGAGACACCAAGACGGGGTCGCAGAATTCCGTGCTTAGGCCGTAGCTGAGCTTCTTCAAGCGAGCGGTGATCTTATCGAAGTGCACGGCCTCCTTCCGGCCGTCGCGCTTGACAACGTACATCGCGGGGCGGCCCCGAAGCCTTGTTGCGAGGCGGCTTAAAACGCGAACTATTTCACTGCAGGCCTCTAAGTCGCTATAATGCTGGAATGCAGCGGCGCCGCCGTGAAAGCAGGAGCCTAAACTGCTCAATAAGATCTGTAGCTATTAGCGCCTATCAGAGAAGCTTAGGATGCTGAGGGGTTTAAGACGCGACGTTGCGTCACAGTTTTGACACCTAGAGGCTCTGAGCTCTAACAGTAAGAGCCGATGAGGAAGGGCTGAGCGGGCGTGGATTGTTCGTCAGGACGTGTAAGCGGATTAACCGCACTTAGGACGAGTTTAATATGCAAAGCAATGAAGGAATTAATCCGGGCCAACGATGGAATCCGGCCAGGGAACTCTGCAGAAGCTAGACTAACGGTGTGCGACGATCAGGATGTGACTGGTTAATGCAGTTAACTCTCAGGTACCAGGGAACTACGGCCCGACGACGAAGGGTGAGGTGAGAACGGCTAGACGACGGCAGTAATGGTGGGATTCGACCAGATTTCTCAAAAGACGTGTATGTCGCTAGCTAGTTGGTGCCACGGAGAGGTCAAGATGAGTAGGCTAGCTAACAAATGTATTTCGAAGAAATTGTCGACACGGGTGAGGTCACCTCGGCTCTGGAAACCGCTAAACTCCTGCAAGTTCTTCTGGAAGGCGCTGCTGGAATTTGTGATCAAGCAATGAGGCGTTAAAAGGCCAAGCTCCTTAGAAAAACCCCGCCTGCCTTAGGCTGACTATATCCGCGGAGTGGCGGACCAGCACGAATGTGAAAGAGAATCGATCGGCAAGGAATCAAGAACAAGCATCCATGGGATGATGAGCAGCCGCGACAGCCGACACCGAGGAACTGGCAGACACGTTATTCAAACCACATGAGAAATAGCCGCCATGGCCACGTTGATCAAGCCCCAAGTTCCGAAGTTGGCGAAGTGGGGAAACCTTGACAAAAAACCTCCCAAGTTGGGATGTGATGCGATAATAGCCGCTCGATGAGGTTCTCTAAATCAATGAACGGTTGGATGTTGCTAGTTTCTGGTTTCGCTCCCCTCCCCTCAGCATTTCTGCCACTCTCGTTCCGCCCAAGCTCGTCCGTTTTCAGGTTTCGTTTGAAGGTGGAAGGGGTGGGGGGAAGGAATTTTGAAAGTTCAGAAAGTTGAGTGGCTGGTTTGTATGAACTTGGACAATGATTGGTTCATTCCTGCCCGAGCTCAGGGGTTCAGGAATCCGTTCCGTGCCGTGTTAGGCGTCATCTTGAAGATACCTCGGCCGCGATTCGATTGCCAGTGACCATCGTTACAAGAGCAGCTATTGATTTTACTGTTAGTGCTAGCAAACAATTCGACTTAAAGCGAGCGTACAGACCAAACTCAAGAGTCAAAGGTTTTGAGTCCCCCGACGCACGAAAACTAACGCGAAACAAACACGGTAACCAAATACCAGCAGGAGGGGTGCGATTTTTATTTGGGAAGATTCTGATTGGCTATGCGACTCACCACCAACCCAGCGACAGAACAAGGAAAGCCTCTCCCCCCGCCACATCAAGACCCAAAGCTTTATCAGAATAATTGAATAATCGTAAAGTGAGAGTACACACAAATATATCTAAGTTTTGTATCCTCTAAGAGGTGACTCTATACAGTCTATACAAACATGACAAATACACATGTTTGACACACCCCCTAGACTGCATAGGGGAATACCCTAAACAAGCAGCTCAGGGCGGCACTACTAGTCCAACCACTGTGAGAGGACACAAGTCCAGTCTGAGTATACATATAAAGGACAGTACAAAGTCAAGGTCCTAGCAAGTGAGAGGCTACAGGAACTAGACCAAGCTGTACACAGTGCCGCTGATGATCTTTAGGCGCAAGCGCCTTCGTAAAGATATCAGCCGTGTTGGCACCTGAGGCCAAGTGTACTACGCGAGCCTGACGTCGCTGCTGTAGCTCACGCAGGAGGAAGTACCGCAGCTGAATGTGCTTCGCTCTGCCCTCGAGTCGAGGCTCCTGACACAGGAGGATCATGGCCCTGTTGTCAGCGAACAGGACCGGGGCAGAGCTAGGCCGCTCACCTAAGTCAGTGAGCAAAAAGGTCAGCCAGCGGAGCTCCTGTGCCGCCATGGCACCGGCGTATATCTCAGCCTCACAGCTAGACTGTGCAACAGACGAGGAGCGAGTAGCTCTCCACGAGACGGCACCTGAGCCAAGGCTGAAGCAGTAGCCCTGGGTAGACCGGAGTGTCTCAGCGTCGTCTGCCCACGAAGCGTCTGTGTGCCCAGTAAGGACCGCTGGCCTGCGTCCTCCTAGCACTAACCCCATGCCCGATGTACTAGCAAGATAACGCAGAACCCTCTTAGCGGCAGACCAGTGCTGCGGTCGGTGTCTGCCTGTGGCCACAAAGCGAGCCAGGATGCTGAGAGGGTATGCGAGATCTGGGCGAGTGCAAGTCATCAGGTACATGAGGCAACCCACCAGCTCTGCGTAGGGGCCGCTGGGCTCTACCAACTCCTCAGGCACTGGAGCGGAGAGCCTGTGGTCTACAGGCAGAGGGGTGGGCTGTGCAGAGGAGAACTGAAGGCTGAACCTCTGAAGGACCTGGCGCACCAAGTGTGACTGAGTCAGGGTGATGGTGCGCGCAGCTCTGTCCCTGGAGATCTGCAAGCCAAGGTAACGGCGCAGTTCTCCAAGGTCAGTGCAGGTGTGTCTCTTCAGCAGCTCTGCCTTCACGGAGGCCAGCGCGTCCCTGTCTGCTGTGGCAAAGACAAGGTCGTCGACGTAAACGAGGATGTAGAACGGAGTCTGGCCAGCACGAACGAAGAGTGAAGGGTCTGCAGAAGACGGAAAGAACTGCAGGTCAGCAAGCGTAGCCCGCAGAGTGTCGTGCCACTCACGGGGAGCCTGGCGCAGGCCGTAGACGGGGCGCCGCAGGAGCCACTGGGTCCCAGGAGGGAAGGTGCCAGTAAAGCCCGGAGGGCGGCGCAGGTAGACCTGCTCGTGTAGGCTGCCCTGAAGGAAGGCAGTGGAGAAGTCGAGGGAGTGAAGCTCGTAGTCACGCTGAGCAGCTAGGTGTAACAGAACCTGAAGAGTAGTCATCTTCGGGGTCGGAGCGAAAGTCTGGAAGAAGTCCACCCCCTCGCGCTGACTGAAGCCTCTAGCCACATAGCGCGCCTTGAAGACAGGCGACTCTCCAGGAGGGCGCTTCACCTTGAAGAGCCAGCGGCCATCGACTACGTTCACCCCAGGTGGGGGAACTGCGTCGACGAAGGTGCCGGTGGATCTCCAAGATGCCATCTCCTGCTCCATGGCAGCTATCCACTGTGAGGCCCAGGGTCCCGAGGTCGCCTCGGCGTAAGTGCGAGGGGTCGGGATGTCGAAAGCGTCTGGGTCACCCTCAGGGACTAGCAGCATGGAACAGAGATGGGGAGCAGCCTCGGAGAGGAAAGCAAGCTCGAACTGGGGGTCCTCCAGGACGTCACTGCCAAGGGCAGAAGCACCCCCGACAGACGGAGGACAGGCAGGGTCAGAGACCAGAGCGGTGGCGTAGTCAAGGCGGCGGGTAGAGGCGAAGTCAGCGACAGCAGCGACAAGAGCGTCAAGGCACGAGACTGGAACAGACGGGTCGGTAACGAGAGAGGCAAGGACCCGAGGAACGAGAGGACGAGCGGCACGAAGGTAGTCGGACAGCGGGGGGGGCGCAACAACAAGGGAGGACGGAGGAGGCGACGGCAGAAGGGGAGGACGAGACGCGTGTGAACGAAGCAACATAGGGTGGGAGCGCAGGACAGGCGAGGCAGGACGAGCACGGGAGGGACGGTGAGACCAGACGTGCGATGGAGGAGTCGGGTCAGGAGACAGGGGAGGGGACACAGGAGGGGAACGAGGGGGGAGACGGGCCGGGGACGAGTCCGGCGGAGGGAAAACAGGGCCGTAGACAGGAAGAGGAGGAGACGGTCGGGGAGGAACCGACGCAGGGTCGGGGGACGGAAGGCCGAGCAGGCGAAGGGCGGACACCGGCGGGGACTGCTGCTGCGGCGGCACAACGGCGACACCTGGACCGCAAGCTGCTCCTCGGCTACCACCGGCACTCTCCACACCCGCACCCCCAGAGGGACCACCCTCAGGGCGACCGGGACGAGCACCCCCAGAGTCAGTGAACGGGGGCTGCGACTGCGGCGGCGGCGGCGGCGACGGCGACGGCTGCAGTGGCGGCAGGGACGGCGGAGGAGGGGACTGGGGAGGGGACACCTGGGGAGGGGCGGCCGGCGAGGACTGCACCGGAGGGCCACCAGAGTCAGAAGACTCCTCAACCAGGTCCACGGACGGAAGGGGGGTGACGTGGGAGACACCAGAGGGGGCGGGACGGAGAGGAGGAGGAGGAGGGGCAGGGACTACCGGGGAAGGGGTGACCAGGAACAGGGGGGGGGTAACCGGGGGACCACGGTGGGGGAAGCGGCGGTAGTAGGAGACGGACTCGTCAAAGGTGACGTCACGAGAGTGAAAGAAGCGGTGAGACGGCGGGTGGTAAAAGTGCCAGTCGGACGCGTCAAGGGGAAAACCGAGGAAGACGCAGGGAAGGGTGCGGGCAGTGAGCTTGTCCGTGCCGGAGGCACGGACGTGAGCAAGGCAGCCCCAGACGTGGAACGCAGACGCGTCACCAGGAGACCCAGTCCACAGACGGGTCGGCGAAACCTGCGGCTGCTGAGGGTGCGGCCACAGGTTAAGCTGGTGAGAAGCGTGGCGCACAGCGAACGGCCACAGAAAATGGGGTGCACCGGCATGGACCATGGAGGTGCGAGCGACCTCCATGACCAAGCCGATGCGTCGCTCAGCGACCGCATTCTGCTGTGGGGAGTCCGGTAGGGTGAACGTCTGGGTGATGCCCTCCGCACGACAAAAGCGACCAAGGACACTTGAGGCAAACTCGCCACCACGGTCTGAGTGAAGACGCAAGACAGGGAGACCGCGGTGGACACGCGCAGAGACAAGCCAGGGGATGAGGGCGCCAGGCACGTCGGCCTTGCGCTCCAGGGGAAAGACTGTGGTGTAACGAGTGAAGTCGTCGACAAGCACAAGGAAGTAGCGCTCGCGACGCGGCCCAGGGACGGGGGCGGGGCCCCAGACGTCCAGGTGCAGGGTCTGCAGCGGCGCGGCGGTAGGGGGGAACGAGGAGGAGTGAGGGGCACGGCGAAGCCGACCCTCGACACAAGGCGTGCAAGGTGGAGCTGGGGAGGAGGGAAACGCGGGGAGTGAACCTGGGAGACCAAGGACAAGACCGTGCTGGGACATGTGACGCAGACGCGGGAGCGCAGGGTGACGTAGGCGGTGGTGCCACAGGAGGGTCGGGTGAGTGAGGGAGCGACAGGAGCACGCAGCAGCAACCTGGGTAGACACAGCCACCTCAGGGGGCGCTCCAGCCGGGGGCGGCACGGTGTCCAGAGTGAACAGGCCGGACACCGGGTCCCGGGGGAATGTGGACAGGGGGGCACCAGTGGCGGCCTCGGTACAGACAGCATACCGCTCGTGACCAGGGAACGTAGTGGTGACGCCAAGGTCCTGGAGGCAGCCGACACCAACTAGGTTCCTGGAGAACGAGGGGATATGCAGACCTGTAAGAGAGCCCGAAGGAACCGCCGGACAGGGAAGGGTGGTGGAACTGCGGGCGACTACCGGACCGTCGGAGGGGTCAGCAAGAGAAACGGCAGCAGGAACAGGAAGCGACGTCAGGGTGGTGGAGTCGCGGAAGAAACACCGAGAGGCGCCAGAGTCCAAGGTGAAGGAAAGCGAAGCAGAGGCGGCTAGCGACGGAACGACGACGGAAGCACCAAGACTACACAAAGCAGAGGATCCTACGCCTGACGCAGCAGGGTAGGCTACGCTAGGCACACCTACAC